GTCGCACAGGCGTGCGTTATCCGGATTAAAAACATTCATTTCTACTTAGTTCAATACTTCGGATCATCGAATGCTATCTTGAAAAAAAGTGTTTAATTCACGTTAGTACGTCGCACAGGCGTGCGTTATCCGGATTAAAAGCATTCATTTCTACTTAGTTCAATACTTTGAATCATCGCATGCTATCTTTAAAAATAGCGTTTAATTCACGTTAGTACGTCGCACAGGCGTGCGTTATACGGATTAAAAACGTTCATTTAAACTTAGTTCAGTACTTCGCATCATCGAATGCTATCTTGAAAAAAAGCGTTTAATTCACGTTAGTACGTCGCACGGGCGTGCGTTATCCCGTTTAAAAGCATTTATTTCTACTTAATTCAGTACTTCGCATCATCGAATGCTATCTTGAAAAAAAGTGTTTAATTCACGTTAGTACGTCGCATAGGCGTGCGTTATCCGGAATAAGAGCATTCTTTTTACGTAGTTCAGTACTTCGAATCATCGCATGCTATCTTTAAAAATAGCATTCAATTCACGTTCGTACGTCGCATAGGCGTGCGTTATCCGGATTAAAAGCATCCATTTTAACTTAGTTCAGTACTTCGCATCATCGCATGCAATCTTTAAAAATAGCGTTCAATTCACGTTAGTACGTCGCATAGGCGTGCGTTATCCGCATTAAAAGCATTCATTTCTGCTTAATTCAGTACTTCGCATCATCGAATGCTATCTGGAAAAAAAGTGTTTAATTCACGTTAGTTCGTCGCATAGGCGTGCGTTATCCGGATTAAAAGCATTCATTTCTGGTTTATTCAGTTCGCATCATCGCATGCTATCTTGAAATAAAGCGTTTAATTCAAGTTAATACGACATATAGGCGTGCGTTATCCGGATTAATAGCATTCATTTCAACTTAGTTCAGTACTTCGCATTGTTACGTCCCGCAATGAAAAATTTTCAAAATCTTTATATTACACTATATCGCATATTAAAATTCCAAAACTATATCTATATCATAATCTTTACCTACTATTGTTATATAATAACGTCTATATATATATATCTGTCCCTCGCTGACAGCATATGTGTAGTACACTCATTGAAAGTCGCTACAGAATACCTGAAAATTATAGAAATATCAATAAAATGTCACAATATTATCATATCGTTATTACTCTATATAAAATTCCGTTATACTAGTGGAACTAACCGTAAAACCAGGAATAGCAAATATATTTAAATATATATATATATATATATAGACAAAATCTAACAAAATGAACCTAACCGTTATCATCGGAAACTTATTGAATAAACTTTAATTAAAAATATTGAAAATCTTAAAGCCATAATAATGTAAAGAATTTCAAATCTAGAATATATATATATATTTACAAATATCTTTCATTATTCAAACAATCAATCGTAACGAAACAGATTCGATAACGATTCATTTTGTTAACAAAAAAACCACAATAGATGAAATAACAAAAAAAAAAACAATATATGAAAGAAAAGAAAAAGAAAATATATATACTTACGTAGAATAGATTTAAGTTCTAGTTAAGGTATCGTAAAGTGTAAGATCAATTATCCTTCCGATAAGTATATATAATCCGCACTCTTCAAATAGTTAGAATATTTTCCGCCTTCATACGCGTATACTCGTACATAGATTCCCAATTTTAAGAATCTGTAAAGAAAACCCATCGATATAAGCCAAATCTAATAATCTCATATTTTCCAGTAGAGACAAGAAACACTCTTATAAAGTAAGAATCAAAACCCTCAACGATTAGCATTAATGGAATTGCTCCACAAACCCCTTTTAAATAATTATTAACAATATAACCTTAAGGACCTAACCATATAAAAGGAGACGCAAAGACTTGATTTATAAGCAAAAATGCTTAATACAAATAATTAATAAAATAAACTCTGCACAAAAACTAAATAAAATCGTCTTTACAATAGTGACATATATATATATTCATATAAAGCCACTCAGTAAAAATACGTACTCATTACATTACGAACAAATAACCGAGAACAAACGTACAATACGTTCAAAAGAAAAATTATAACTCTTATACATGACACTTCTAATAATAAACTCTAATACCATGACCAACAGATTTGTTGAAAATAAGATTACATTTTTAAACAAGCATAAATTACCGTAAAATGACCGCCTCTTAATATATAACATATATATCTGAAATTTTGTGTCTAACATCTCCATTACTATTTAGGAGAACTATAAGACTCAAATATTACTCAAAATATACATACGCTACCCACATATATATATCTGATCATGATTAATTCTATTACATATATTGAAATAAAATCGCTATATTGATCCTACTAACCTAATTATTAAATGAGACATACACCAAACGGAACAACAAAATGTACCTGTTGATCATCAACAAAATTTATAAATATAATGACTTAAAATTCAAGAGAATAAATTAAATAAAATTAAAATCCGTATCTGTTTCTATTTGATCTGTCGGATAAATAAAAGTCCCCCAACTATTCTTTATGACATACAGAATTTATTAAATAAACATAGCATGTGCTAACCAGAAATTAATAAGAGTTTTTTTTTTTCAATGAAATAAAATTGATTTATAAACCATTTTGTTGAACCAAAAGAATAAATAAAATATAATAATAATAAGAACGTCTATGCTTATATATATCGTTGGAATCTTGTAGCATAATCATGGGCTTGAAACATCCTCTCTCTTTTTTCCACGTAAACTCTCTCTAAATGTAGATCTTCACCACTAGAAACCTGAAAGAACACGTAATTAATAAGAAGTCTATATACAATTTCTTATAAAATAATTGAAGAGGATAATGACCCTCCAAGAATATATAGCATCAAGAATATAACCAATTCACNCTTCAACTTCTGCGTTCCTCTCGACACGTTGCTAGGTTTCTGCGAGGATTACAGGCGCGTCGTCATCAACGCGCGTCAACGAGCTGATTCTGATAAGAGGCGAAACGACAACAATTGTCTATATCGCGCGAGGAATTCGAGCCGAGAGTCGAGCTCGGAAGATACAGTGGCGGCGTGCCGCACGTGGTGCTGAATGACGTCAACAAATTATCGCTGTTGCGCACGTTGGACAGCGGCAGATATCTGAGCGCGCCCTTTCGCTCGTGGGATCTCTACGAGTTTCCGCTCCTGCAGAGCACGACCAAACACTCGTGGGCCGTAAAAGCGGCACACGCAGCTCGAGAAACGCGTTACGTCATCTTCCGCGTTTCAGACCGGAAAGAAGAACGTTGCGCAGGACGCTTCCAGATTCGCGCGTGCAATCTGACAACCGTAAAGTTGTATCTCAATTCCGACTTCTATCCGTACGACGATATGATTTGGACTTACGACAAGACAAAATCGCGTACTGTACGACGCCTACGCGAGATTTCGACGAACGTATTACGGATCCGCGAGCGACGAGACGCTCCTGACCATGAACAAATTTCTATAACTGCGGCCAGCTCGCAGTAGATAGATTGTTCCCGCCAAAACGAAGCGATTAAGAGCGCCACTGTGGACGTTCGTCTAGAATTCGACTGCAAGGACAACGTTCCTTCTAACACCACGGCGTACTGTCTAATCATTCACGATCGCGTGGTGGAGTACATCCGTTGACAGAACGTCGTGCGTAAGATCCTGTAAGACGACGTGTCGACGGGGGGGGGAGAGAGGAACTCGAAACCGCGAAGATATCGGGGGGGGGGGAGAGACGCGAATAAACGTCAGTATCTCGCGACGATGACCGCGACGACGTTCGCGAGCGATATCGCCCCGCCGATCTTCATAGATCTGCAGGGTTTCGTCGTCAACGAGCGATTCGTGACGAAGGAGATGGGATACTCGCGAACGGCAGAGATCTGACGCATCACGTTTTTCGCGCGCCGATGTCGTGGAATCTGCTGACGAAGAGCGAGAAGTCGCAGGCCTGTTGGCTGACTCTCAATCACCACGAATTTCACTGGACCGACGGACACGTGGAGTATAGGCACGCGAAACAGTTCGCGACGCGATATATCGCGCGTCGAGGGATCTCGCGTCGAACGCCGCGGTGACGATCTACGTCAAGGTCTCGAGAAGAAAGGTGGCTGACCGACATCGCGGGAGAGGTCGCGGAACAGCTCGACCTGACGATGGAGACCATCGACGCGGATTACGAGGATATCGGACCCCTTCGAACGCTAGCCCGCCACTCGCGTCTATCGTTGCGGCTATCACTCGAAGAATTGCGCCTTGGAAAACGTGTGCAAACTGCACGACTGGTGGTTGGAGAGAGCGACTCAATTGCGCGACATGTGAACGGAGACGCGTCGTAGATTAGTCTTACGCGTACTCTTATCGACGACTTATCACCCTGCCTAAAAGTATTATTAATACTTAGAAAGATACTATTAATACTAAGAAAAAAATAATATTCAAATAATATTAATACTAAGAAAAAAATAATATTCAAATAATATTAATACTAAGAATATTAAAATAATACTACGAATATTAATACTAAATATTAAAATAATAATAATACTACGATATTAATACTAAGAATTAAAATATAATACTACGAATATTAATAATATTAAGATAATATTAAAATAATGTTAAGATAATATTAAAATAACGTTAAAATAATGTTAATCAGCGAATAAACTCGTATCGCGCGTACGCGGTCGAACGTTATGTATTTTCCGGCACTTCCTCCGGAGCAATCGAGAATTTATCGCGCCTCATTAAATTAAATTACCGCGTTCATATCGCTTTAGATTACGGCTTTAGCATTAGCATTCGACGGAATCACAAAGACTCGGCGATAGCGATATCGCAGGTATAAATTAGCGCCGAGAGACCGTTTTTTCCTCAGAATGAGTCTCGCGATCTCGTCGTTGAGTGCGTCCGATATCGCGAGTGTTCCTAACGTATCCAGCATTCATTCTTGGAGTTATTTTTTTTTCACGCGAACGACGATGAGCGGCGACGAAATCTCGCGATTGCGAAGGATGCTTCGCGAATGCACGTTCACGCCGTGGATGTGCCTGTGGAAGATAAAGTACATCAGAAATCTCATGGATGCGATCCTCAATATAGCCGTAACGTGGAACGTAAGTACTCGTTCGTCTCTTTATTCTTTCGCTCTTCTTCGAGGAAAAAATACTACGTATATATTTTTTTTCACAGTTCGAGAATGAGGTTGAGATCTATGGATTCGTCAACATACGTCGCCGACATTGGATACGACAGGCGAGACTGAAGCAACGGCGATTCTTAAACTCCTTATGGTGCGACCGGCCGTCCTATAGAGAATGGGAGAGGCGCTCCCCTGATATCTACGCCGACATCTTTCGACTGAGAAGATTGTTCGACATGGAGCCGCTCGTCTCGGATCGCGCGTTTAAAACCGAGGATTTCTGCGACGACGATTCCCCTGTGGAGATATGGTACTGCGACGCGAGCTCGCTCGAGGAAACGAGCTCCGTCCGTACGGAGGACGAAAGATTTTAACCGAGGTACCCCGATCTCTTCTGGTATAACGCGCCGTTCTTTCCTTTCGCGTCTCTCCATACGTATTATTATCATTAATACGCAGCTTTTACGTATTTCAGACGTCTCGTCGATCTCGACGTCTCGTCGAAGAACGGCGCCGAAGGATGGCGTCGAAGAACGGCGCCGAAGGACGGCGCCGAAGGACGGAGTTGAAGACTATGCATTATTGAAGTAGACTACTATCGCATGCAAAGTTATCCCTTAAGATTGATCTTCGTTCGCGTCGCCTCCCTTCCTCTCGCGCGCGTCGAAACTCATCGTCGCTCGCGCGAACTGAGCTCATTCCGTCGATCGGACTCACCGCGTCTTCGCGAAAGATTCGTCGTCGTTGTCGTCGTCGTCGTCGTTGTGATTGCAGTCGTAATTTTATCCCCCCCATATTCATATATTCCATTATGCCGGGGGGAGGTATTTACGATCGACTCGTAAATACCTATCCAGTTAATCCGAGTTTAAGTAGCGAATGGACCAATCAGGACCCAGTTTAACGTATTAAACTCCGATTAACTCGAGTCGTGGAACCGGGTCTTACAGCGGTATTTATGGGTTATTTATGGTCGATTCCTAGGTCATTTACGGTTCTCTTACGGTTCCTATGGTTCTTACGGTTCTCACGGTTCTTACGGTTCTTACGGTTCTTATGGTTCTTATGCTTCCTATGGTTCTTACGGTTCTTACGGTTCTTACGGTTCTTACGGTTCTTATGCTTCCTATGGTTCTTATGGTTCCTACGGTTCTTACGATTCTTACGGTTCTCACGGTTCTTACGGTTCTTACGGTTCATTCACGAATGAACCCCGCGATCGTTTCGCCTCGTTCGGGCGCGGTTATACGGGTAAGCGCGAGGCTCGAGATCGCGATACGTTCATTCGTGAATCATGTTTTTGCAGCTACTTTATTTTTAAATGGTCGTTCGATACGAGCTCAAACGGGCATGTTTTTTTTTTCGTAAGACCGTTTATTCGCGTCGTTCCCGAGAGCATTAAGAAGCAGCTCTTCGCACTCCGTATCGGTTCGCAGGTCGTTCCCTAAGAGATATTCGAGTGGATCGCTCAAAATGGGTCCACCCCTTATATAATAGTCGTACATTTCAATCGTATAAGTTTAACAATGGTACATCGTAATCGTCGTGTCGCATCCATCGTCGATAGTCGCACGATTCAGCGAAGGAGAACTCGAAGACCCTCCGCGTTCTCTCGAACATTAGAATGTTCCAATATAATGTTGTAATATAAGGTTCGCCGACTACTTCGAGTTCCTCCCCCGCAAGCTCGCGTATAGGCCGTGTAATTACTTCATTATGTTAAACGTTATACTAAGCGTTATACTAAGCGTTATAACCCTGTCGGCATTTATACAAACACCTCGTAAAGCGATACGCTACATTCACCTCCTTGTCCTCCGACAAGTATCGCGAAACTAATATACACGCGCGTATCGCGTGCTTCGATATCGCGTCGAATGGTTCGATTTTACGTTCGAACAAACATGTGTAAAAAAAAGAAGCGAAAGACACGACAAGGCGCGCGTCTAAGCGATATCTTTGCGAATCGTAGATCGCGCGTATTTTTTGTACGAATGAGGAATAATTTTTTGTACGAATAAAAAATCATTTTTTGCACGAATAAAGAGTCGTTTCTTTTCGATCACCTCTCTAGCGCGTCCCGGAGTATCTCTCCTATTCCTTTTCTATTTTTTTTTTTGTCATCGTGTTTCTTTTTTTTAAAAAAAAAGTTCGCTCTCTCGATCATCCTTCTCGCGCGTCCGAGCGTACGTACCCTCCCCTCCCCTGGCCTCCTCCTTCTCCCTCGTACTCGCGCTTTCTCGCGTTCCGGAGAACGACGACGCATCGCCGAAGGACGCGCGCGCGCGATAGTTCGCCACCGTCCCGACCCCCGCGCGTCTCGCACGAGCCATGACGCGCGTCGCGTTATCGCTCGCGCTGACGATATCCCTGCTCGCGGCCGTCGCGGCGACGTCGACCTACGATGACGTCGCGGAGGCGTCCCGTTATCTTCGAACCTACGGCTTTCTGGAGAACGAGGAGAATCATCAGCAGTCGTCGCTACTGGACAACGCGACCGCCCTGAGCGAAGCGCTGTCGTTGTTTCAGGAATACTACTACGAATCTGCCGGGAAACGGCGTTCTGACCGTGGAAACGATTCGCGTCATGCGCAGGCCGCGATGCGGCGTCGCGGACATTCGCGCCTACAGCCCGTTGACGAGAAAGTGGCCGAGGGCGCATCTCACGTGGAACTTCAAACTAGCGAACAGAGATACTCTGCGCACGACTCAGAGCGCGTTCGTTCTGTGGTCCGAGCAATCCGCTCTGACGTTCTCGCGCGACTCGCTGCGCCCCGATATACTGATATCCTATCAATCCGGCGCTCACGCGTACGAGAACAGCGACAACGGGGGCTCGTGCCCGTCGCCGTTCGCGGGACCGGGATCGGTCGTCGCTCACGCGTTCTTTCCGACGGGAGAGCCCGATCAGATGACCGAGGTGCACGTCGACGAGACGGAGCCGTGGCACATCACGCTGACCAAGCCCTCGTCGGACAGGCTGTATCTCCTTCAGACGCTGACGCACGAGATCGGTCACACTCTGGGTCTGACTCACAGTACGAGGGATGACTCGGTCATGTACGCGTACACGCCTTCGAAGGAAAGGCGATATCCGCTCAGGCTGAGCGTAGAGGACGTCGTAAACGTGCGAAATCTCTACGGATCGAGAGAGACGACGACTCCTAGGATCGTCGACGTCACTCGACCGACGACCGCGGCGACGACCGCGACGACGACGACGAGAACGACTACGACGACGATGGCCTCGAGGACGACGACGGCGGCCGCGGCTCAGCCGACGACCGCGAGAACGGTCGAGCCGCCGCTCGTTCCCTCCGATACCACGGATCTATGCGCCTTGAAGCGCGTAGACGGAGCGCTAATCATGAATCGTCGCCTGTACGTCGCGCGTAAACGCAACGTGTGGCCCGTCGATATGAGGGAGAGACGCTACGGAGCGCCCTTCTCGTTCGCCGACTACTTTAAATTCCTCCCCCGCAATCTCACTCGCGTATCGGCCGTGTATCAGAGACCGTCGGGCGATATCGCGATATTCGTCGGCGACTACGTCTACCTCGCCGATTCGAATTTTCATCTTAAAGCGGGATGGCCTAGATCCGTCGAATACGTCGGATTTCCCCGCGACGCTAGGATAAACGCCGCGATAAACACGCACGCCGGGCGCAGTTACGTCATATACAACGACGATAAGATAGCCGAGATAAACGACTGCGCGATGACCGTCGCGAGGCACGGCGCTCTGCGGGACACGTTTTCCGGGATACCACCCGCGATAACGGCCGCCTTCCGTCACGTCGACGGTAATCTCTATTTTCTGAAGAAACGCGACTATTACGCGTACAGCGAGTTCCTCGACGCGATAATCTCGGCCGGTCCCTTCGATCTTAGCATACTGGGAATAGAATGCCCAGCCGATGGCATTCTGCATCGATTGAGCGAACTCGTCTCCAAGCTGTATCGCCTGGAATACGTGTCCTTCGAAAGACCGCGCAACGGCGGCGACGACGACGACGACGACGATGACTAAGATCAGGAAATCCTGAAACCTAACGTTAAGATTACATTTAATATGCTGTTCTAAACCGCTGTTCTAAACCGCTTCCGCTGCATTAATCAACACGCGCGTCGAGAATAAAGATTTCGCGACGACGATCGAGATCGCATCGTATATATAAGACGCGTCTCGATCGTTGCGCGCGACATTTCCAACGATACTCGCGATTAACGCGCGTTCGATTCTCAACGGACGTCTACGACGAATCTCTCTACGACGCCGTCGCCACCGCAGTGTCTTCCTACAAACATCGAAGCCCTGTTCGCGAGACCGATCATGTTCGCCGGACTAGGACAGGAGTATCGCAGAGTGTTCGGGGACTCGTCCTCGACGCCCGCGACTCCGTCGGCGCCGCCGATGACGGGCCCCTTCGTCGTCCCGTCTAATCATCGAGACGATTACGCGGCTTCCGCCAAGGACGAGGATACCACCCGCGATCGTTCGGACATTCCGCCCGTGATCAAGAAAGCACGACTGTACACCGAGGACGAGTGAGTACGCGCGAGTCACCTCGCCCGAGCGCTCTCGATCTCCGCCTCGATCGGCTATTTCTCCATAATAACGTCGTCTTTTTTACAGATGGAATAGAAACTGGCTGTTCAAACGCGAGATCAATTTCGCGAGACATCCGATTCGAATACTAGGAAGACGATATCCTCTGACCAAGACGGCGTACAAATATATCGACATCGCCGTAGCCGTGAAGCGCGAATCTCGAGTCGACATCGTCCTAGGAGACTGCCACGGAAAGGAGATATCTCTGACGCCCGACATGTGGAAGGATCTGCTCGCTCTGCGCAACGATATACTGCCGTATTTCGAGAACGAATTGGACGAGGCTGTCGCGCGCCCTCCGACGTCCATAATCGTCGGAACCGTGACGCTTCGATTCGGCAAGATAAACAATCTGAAGACTCTGCGCTTCGAGACGCCGAAGAATCGCATCGCTCTGTCGCAATCCACCGTGAAGGCGCTGTTCGTTCTCGAGCTGTGCGTCAATCGCATCATCGCGTCGTTGACCGGCGTATTCGAGACCGTGGACGCCAAGTTATCGCGTTTTCTAGATATCGCGACGGAGACCGACCACCCCGGCGATATTCCCGAAGCGATTCGCCGGCACGAGCACTTCAACGCGAACGATCTGATCGACTGCGAGTTGCACGCTCTGCTGTTCGGACTCTATCACAATTTGTAAGACGAAACGATCGCGAGTACCGACGTTATTCTCGACGTACACATGTATCTACGCGTGTTACTTCGCGACGTAATAAATAAACGAATAACTAAATAAATAAATTGTACGCGTAATTTATTATCTCTCTCTCCTAGATTTACGTCGCCTTCGTCTCTCCTCGCTTCGCGAAGAATTCCCTCCTCCTCCTCCTGCTCGAAATAAATCTAATATACATCGTACATTATACATCGTATAAAATAATATTTTGTATAAAATCGTACGTTATATAAATTTTACGTTGTATCTCTTCCAGGCCTGCGTCGAATACATCCGCTCTATTATTAACGCCTTATCTCGCGCGACGCGCCCGACGCCGGGGCGATCGCCGCTTATCGCGCGCGCCTAGCGCGCCGCGTCCAGAGACGCTCCGACGCGCCGTAACCAGGGACGCGCGCCCGCCGTAACCAGGGACGCGCGCTCTCCCCCCCCCTCTTCCTCGCTCTAGCGCGAACCGCGCTCCCCCTCGCCCCCGCCGCCCCCTCGCCATACCCTCCGTCCGCTCCCCCCTCGCCCTGCCGCCCTCCCGCCGCCGCGACGTCACGACCCTCCGTTTACCCACCCGACGGCGAGCGGCTCCCCTCGCCCTACCTACCCCTCCTGCTCACCCGCGCCGCCGTCACCCTGCCCCTCAGATATCTTTCTATCTCTCTCGCTCTACGAGACCTCTCTCTCGCACCCGTGGAAAAAGTGGGTTAGAATCGACCTATTCTCCCTACTTTTCAGATACATCAATTTCTCGAACTGCTTTATCACCAAGATCTTTAAAATCTTGCATTGCTTCACCAGCCTCTATATTTTGAACACCTATCGGATTTTCAGGATCATCCTGAAACTGTTGTTTTTGTAAATCGTCGTCTAGTCATTGCTGAACTAACTGTTTTGCGGTTTCAAATGCTTTTTGCAATTCTTCTAATTTTTCATGATATCACAACGCTTCTACAAGATGCAGTTTTTCTTTGTGAAACGATTCGGTATAAGTATCGTCTCCGTTTCTAAGATCTTCTAATTTTCGCCATTTAAACATAAGCAATAACGAAAAGAAATAATTTTCTGGTTGTGTATTAACATTAACTTTATAATGATCAATAAGATATCCACGCTGTTGTCGCTTAAGATATTTACCATTATCTATTTTATAATACTCAACATACTTATTT